TAGCCCTGGAAAAGCATCAGACAGCTGCAAGTAAATGTTCAGACAACAAACAGTGCAGATAAATGAGAATGAGAGAGAGATGTACAAGATATGAAAAAAATAATGCATGACATTACGATGAATCTGTTGCAGAGATTGGGATTGGTTATCCGCCATATACTACAGCAGCTTGTCATTATATGATATTCAGAATTCATTTAGTAAACTATAAGCATCAATGTTATCAGAGAATAGTGAATACCGTCTGCTCTTCAGAGTGAGAGCATTTTATAAAGTAAAACATTTTCATGGTTGTATGAATTAGTCGGGTTTTGAAAGCCAGCAGGAAGCACTCGGCTGTAAAGAAGCACTGGGACAAAACAAACATTAAAAATTGAAATCCACAACAACCACATCAGCAGCTCAATGTGGCTCCAAGTCACAGTGAAAAGGAGAAAGCGATAGAAGGAGAGTTCAACATCAGTGATGCAAAAATATATACTTTCGAGGCAACAGACAACAAAATATCACAAAATTGTGTGAGTTGAGCCAACAATTCAAATTTAAAATTTAAATCCTAGTCTGCACCCCTCAGGGTGCTTTAAAGACGATTCTCGAGGTGCTGTGAAGCAATTGCTCAGCTAACTTTCCATTTGATCTTTTTTGCTCTTGAGTTCACTTGAGCTCTCATACATCATTTTGCCCAAATTCACTTGCGCCGCCCAAAGAGAAACAATACTTGTCTTTGAACTTATTCGTCCCTTTGGTTTTTTACAGCCTGAATCCTCACAGGTGACAAACAACAGGTTTTTATGTGGTTTGTGTCATGCCAGACTCTCTTGACATGATTGAAAAGTTAAAACATTTAAAATAAATTTACCCCATGTATGCAGTTGAGTTATTGAACCCAATGCATGATGATATACTGTGTGTCTGTTGTGTTGTTTAAAAACAGCAAATATTGATTTATTGTTTGTTATACGCTCAGTCTAATTGATGCCTGCAAAAGACAATATGACAATTTCATGATATGTATGCAGTCATATCTTGTGTGGTAGTGTGGTAACTTGATTGAAGCCTCTGTAAGCAGAGCTTGCAGCTCCGAACTACATGTTAAAAGTGAGATGGCTGAGATGGCTGTGGTAAATATGTTGAAGCACTAAAGAATTGACAGTTCCTCCTGAATGTGAATGTGACATGAGCTCCTGCAGAGCCAGTGACCTTTACAGCACAGATCTACAGCTCATTCTAGAATGAGAGATAAACAAATACAGTACAGACAAGAAAGCTAGTGAGCTTCTCATTTCCCATGTATCCCCAAAATAATCCATAATGCACGACCTGCATGAAAGAACATCGAAACTCAAAGTCACTTTTCTATTGGCCCGAGTTTCTCTGTCTCGCTCCTTCTGTCGCTGCTTTTATAACAATAAGTATCTCGGCCCTCAGCGAGATGAATGAGGAGAATCTTCTCTCTCCTCCAGGACAAAGAATCGTGCAGGAATCTGGGTCACAGCTTAACCCCCCGTCGACACCCTGTCTTCGCCGCCCAGCTCCTTCTCATTCAGCTCAGGGGTTGCTGGAGATCCGAAGACGGCCCTTTGCCGGCGCACACTGCCAAAAATCTGCTTGGCGAGAGAAGGATGTTCTAAAAACAAGACGACAACGGTAAACATGTTGTTCCGCCCCGTCTGTGCCGATGAGGAACAAATATGTCACCTTGTTTTCAGCTGCCAGTACACTTTGCTCTCGAGCCGAGCAGCGTCAGTGGGTATCCAGGAAAAGCATCATTTTCTCAAGTTTTGTGAAAAGCAGATCAGTGGTGTTAGGGTTTGTGTATGACCCATAGAGGGAATAAATAATGTGTAGAACTGAGATGGTTTTCATCCCCTCTCAATTTCCCATCTTTTTTTTGGATACTTTTTACACCAGCAAGACAAATTTACCTTTCAGGCTTTTACATTTTTTTCACAGATTCTTTTGTCAAATTACCAGCTTCACCATGTAATATATCACACTGGATTGCAAGTAAAATCCTGCATTCAATGTTTTACTAAAGGCAGCATTCTTTGTTTTTAGGCCCGCAGAAGAACTCCAAAACAAGCTGACACATGGTCTGACACAGGCTGTTCTCATCCAGCATTCATTGCCATACCTACAAAAAATAATGCGGCATAATCCGTGGGCATCCCACAAATCTTTTCTGAATGTTATCCACGTTATCTTGAACCAGGAAGTATAGAAGGCTACATCATACAGTGGGCGGGAGGGGAGGTGGATGGGTCAACCGAACAGGGATCTTTCAGCCACTTCGTTCCCCACGTGAAACTAGAGGTCAGTGTTGATGTCACAGAACTTGCGTACTTCAGTGACGGCACTTTTGTGGTTATTTTAACCGAAACGACGAACTGTTCCTTAACTTAACTAAGTGATTTTGTTGCATAAACTTCACTGAGTTTCCTTTGAAGAAGGACATTCATTTTGAAAAGGCCATATTCATGTAACAAGCTGAAATCAACACATGTTGCAGGCTTTCGTAGGAAAATGCAGGAAAATGAGGAGTAACTATTCGTGAACCGTTGTATGAGGATACTATCAGCCTGTGTTCTGGCTAACATGTTAGTAAACTTACTTCCACCTCCAGCTGACACAGAGCTAAATTATCATCCCAGTGGAGTGGTGCTCGTCTGATGAATTACGTCCAATATTCACTTATATTTTAGCTGTGATTTGGTCTCCATCACCTCCACCAATTATCTGACTATTTAGCTGCTAGATTTTTCACTTCAATCCTGAAACCAACCCCACAGTTAATTCTGGACTAGACCTGTTCCCTTATTAAGATCTGTGTGAGACTTTTTGTGTACAATAGGTAGTGTGTGTATGAGAGGAACTGTCCCAATTCATCCCAACAGATCGGCAGCTGTGACTCTGTTGCCTCCTGTTGGTGGATTCTAGAAACAAACTCAATCAAGAGAGCTGATTAGAAAAAAAAAAACACTTCATCTGTTTGAGCAAACAGTCCAGTGTGCAAAACCAAAAGGTCAGCAAACAAAGACATTTTCATTACCTTTTCAAACGGCACACCGGATATTTTTGGAAAGCTTCTACACATGAATTCTTGCCACAAAGCATGTGCAACACCATGTATTCATTAAATACTGTTAACTGTATGATTCTCCGCCTCAGACACATCTTCACTGAAGTGGCAGGAGTATTCCTAAATATCAATAATATGGTCATATTCTTATGCACACAGGTTTTGCTGCAGGGTTTGTTCCTGTTTTCTTGGAGGCTTAATTTCAACGCATGTTTCCCCCAACCTGCTACCAATGTCTTCTCCTTTTTACATTTCTGTTTCATTTCTCCCACAAGACTGAAAACCTGACGGAGCGTCTGCGAGGTCACTATCTTGTCTCCAACTGTCTGCACTTGTGTGTGTGTGTGTGTGTGTGTGTGTGTGTGTGCGTGTGCGTGTGTGTGTGTTTATCTGTGAGCAAGATGAGCTGGTAATTACTTGGAGCCCTTGACAGCAAACAGAGGTCTCCACTTTCTGGTTTTCAACAGTCGTTGAGAGGTGGCCGCAATCAGCGCTCCATCTCCGCCGTCACGTCCTCTGCCGTGATTACTGCATTGATTATGACACCAAACTACCACCTTGAGTGTGTGTGTGTGTGTGTGTGTGTGTGTGTGTGTGTGTGTGTGTGTAGACAAAATGGCAATATAAAGGAGGTGAAATTGAAAGAGAATGGGATGGGACTGTAAAGGAGCTAGCTGTCTTTAAAAAATCATTGAAAGCTGAGAGAGCTGTTCTCTGTTGGCATATTTAAACTGGTAAGGATGTGAAGGATGTTACATGCCTGGCCTGAAATAAGAATTGCTGAGTTTGAGATGTTCAAATTCATGACATACTTCTTCTCTGCCTTTTATTTGCACAGAAAGTATTCTTGTATAGGCTATGTATGGTCTTAGCAATTACCATTTAATTTTTAGTGTGCAATGCCAGTTATATTTCAACTATTATATCATTGCTTCTGCTTCCTGTTTCTATGACAACTGTCTGACTGACCCTCATCACCGATCTCCAATGAATTGTTTCAGTCTGTCTGTTATTTAAATGTTAAATCCAGGGTGAAGGTATGGCACTGTGTGATTACAGGGAATGAACATGCAGCCAGATATCCTGAAGTGCATTCTCAAATGTTTCTCAAGTGCTTTCACCCATTCCTTCCACCAGGCCGATACGTTTCCTTTTCAAATAAACATTTTAATCAACTTCAACATCTTTTGGATGTTTAATCACAGCATTTGTTCAGGATCCACAGTTTCACAAAGTGCAGTGTGGGAGTGTGATCAACATAAATACATGGCCATGGATGTCATGCACACTCAAGCAGGTGTTTTCACTAATGCTCAGGTTGGTGGAGCTGTGCTGCAAATAGATCGATCAAATGAAGCTTTTATAGCTCCCTGTGTTACTAGGACACTGTGGAAGCAGCAAAATAGTGTCATAGTAATCTTCTTTTAACAAAAGGTTGTGAGCAAAGCCACTGATGCCTGACAATGAAATATCATTAAGGTTTGCTCAAAGCAATGACTTTCACAGACGTTAATCCAATGAGATGTTTTAAATGCTGAAGCTGAAGTTGTGTGTGCCTCTGTGGGAGTACAAGTGGAAATGAGTGGAAATCTGAAAATTCAATCAGCAGATTTGGGTGAGAAGTTCTGAAAGCCTGACATGTTTCAGCCCAGTCACTGAGGAGTACTTCTGCAGCTGCACATTTGACATCCAGTGAAACAGCATTCAGTATAAAAGCACAACGTAATTTAATGCGAGTTGACAGAGAAAGCCATCACATTGGATACAATTGATCAACCTAATCTTCCCCGAACCGTAACAGAGAAGTTTACGTTTTCTAGTGTCTAAGCTTACACATAACTCAACCCTATGGTACCCTACAGCAGCTTATTGTAGGAATGATGAATAAAAGACAAACAACAGTTTTGCAGAATCCTGAATTCTGTTTGGAAAGACGCTGCACAGCTGATGAGCACACAGGATACTTATCTCTGCTGTGTCACCAAATATAAAACTTTGTTGTATGACAGACAGGTTGTGTCGCCCTTCAGTGCACAAACACATTTCACTTTGGAAAGATTTTGATCAAATTGAGACATTATTGATGTCACTCATTCAGTTGCAGTAGATGAATGGGGCAAAGAAAGCGTAGCAGAGATGAGGAGACAGAAAGAGAAAAAAAAACTTTCAGCATAACTTATACATACTGTATGTAACTATGTAGACTTTTGTTATCCTACCTGCCATAAATGTACAATCCATTAAATAGAATGTTTGATTGTTTCATTGTCATATTTAAGTAAATAGCTTAAATATTGAATGGACACTGGTTGAATCTCGCATACTCACATGGCTTGCTTGTGTGTCTCAACAAGTCCTCCGAATTAAAAGACATCATGTGTTGTTTGTCCATGCTCACTGGAACGGCACAGTCAGCAGGACAACGCCACGAGTCTGTGCTTGCCTTCTGTTGTATGATGTGAAAACACTGATTTAGGGTTGGTCAGGTTTAGGCACTAAAAAGAATTTGTGAGGAAAGTCCCCTTTTACTTTGGGCCAGCCCCTGTTCCCTCACCAGCTTTAAATAATGCTTTACCAAAAACAGAATAAATTCACTATGTGGGCAGACAGGAGATATGGAGAATGTAGACAAATACCAGGTTTAAATGCAGGGTGGTGACCTGATCATTTAATATCCGGAGAGAGCCTGAAGCAGATTGCATTTTAACAGCAGCTGTTTAAAAGGATCGAAAGGTAAAGGAAGGGAGTCTGTGGATCTAAGGAGAATTAGATTCTCATTGGTATCTGTGCACCAGCCAGAGAATTCAATGTAATAGTTCTACAGTCTTTTTTTCTAGTGTTTAAATGTAAATTGGTCAAAAATCTTACAATTTTCTTGACCTAAAATGTGAGCTCTGTCTGTATTTTAACTGAGGGACATTGTAAAAATCAGATCCTTCCTTTAGCCTTTCTAACATTTTAGTCATTTGTGTGTGTGCGTGCGTGCATGCATGTGTGTGTGTGTGTGTGTGTGTGTGTGTGCAGTAATTGCCTAGTGTGTAGGATGTGAGTGCGGTATGAGTGTGTATTTTGTATCTTGATATTTTCACAGCGGATGCTTTTGTGATTAGAGTTGTCCCTGTTTTTAAAGAATGGGCCAAGTTTGTCAGGTGAAGATATACGTTTTTAATTTTCCGGATCCCTCCTGTGGGCATGAGGTGACTTCGGGTAGCAGAGTGGATCGTGATGCAGCACTGATATGAAAACACTCCACTCTGTTTGTGTTTACTATTTTGGATTTGTTTCTCTCTCTGTACATAACTGTATGAGGGGAAAAAAACATTTATCTTCTGACTGTGAGCAGAAACCAGGGATTTGTGTTTTGTTACATGTTAGAAATAAATAAATAAAAAACAACTGAAACAATGTGTTTGTTACTGTCCACTCATATTTGTTGACATCCCAATTAGTACATGACTGTTTAAATATAATTGTTAAATATACAAGACAGGTATATTGTTGGTTTTCATCAATATGTGGAATGCCAGTCGCTTTAAATGTTGCTGCCGCAAGGAATTGTGGGATGGCATTATCTCCTTTCTTTTGGTAAAGGATGGTCCGGTGTATCCTTTGCTAAAGAAGATAAGAAAGGAAGCATTGAAGCACCCTTTCATTTCGAGAATTTGACTCGCTAGCACTCAGTTAGGAACCTTCCTAATAAAACGAATCTTCCGCAGCTCCCTGCCTACAATAGAATAAATAGAATAGAATATATCTTTATTGTCTGTTAACAGAAATGTGTCTGTTACGGTCTGGTTATCTGGTTTGGAATTTGTACTTACTAAGAACAATAATATAAAATAAAATAATATCGTTTGTTTGAACGCAGGATCCACTTCCCATCCATTCACCACCCCAACCTCCACCGTCTTTATGTTTTTGGGAATTCACTGAAGTATATAATATATATAACTGAGCCACAACCTAAACCTTCAACACTTGAAACGTTCATCTCTCTGTCACATCCACCAATACAGATGTAGTCTGAGTCTGAACAGCTGAACCTGCAGGAGACACCTGCGGGGTTCAGGGTGTCGTCCCCTTCGCGGCCCCCGGGTGCCTCTGCTCCGTTTCAACTCCACTACTGACTGAAGATTAAAGGAGCAGGCAGAGAGATGTTGGAAAAAGAAAAACATGCTTCACGCTTTTTTCATCTATAGTTTTGTTTTTATTTCATCATCAAGCATTTGTGAGAGGTTTTAATGACCTGACCATTAATCTCCATAGAGCTTTCTTTTTAGTTATGTAAGAATTAGAAACTTGTAATGTAATTGACATACAAATAAATGAAAAGTATGTTATCTATAGTGACTTCACTTCTGTTTGGACCCCAGAGAGGTCAGACTTGTTATTGACAAAGTGCTGTTTAAAAGGCTTTACAGCTGTGGTGTCTGTGACCCCAAACAAAAGTTACTTTCCGTAGCAGACTTCTGAAATATATCATCAGTTCAAAAACATTCATGTAAAATCTTATGTCACCACAACACATACCCATCGCTTTATTTTACTATAAGTCGTATCATCATTTCTTTTCTCCCATTCAACATCCACAGATATGTTTCCACTGATGGCAATAAATATTACATTTTTTGCATATCTATTGTAGATATGCAAAGTATAAAGGACGTGGTGGGAATGTCAGAGCAGGGGTGTCAAATGGTGTCCTGTCTCAGAGAACAACAGCAGAAGTGCAGCATAATGTATCTGCAGCAGGAGGCTGGTTGTTCATTGGTGACTCAGAGGTTACCTGACCAGACTTTTTGAGCTCCCCTCCAGCCCTCTCGAGCTTTGCAGGAACATAAAGCATCCTGCTGCTGCAGTTTGAGACACGCCTCTAATAGCTGCAAACAGGTTTTTTTTGGCTACGATGAGCCTGAATTTATTTTTCTTGATACAACGTAATGCTCTATTCAAGCTGTGTTCAACGCTTTGTCCTTCATCACTTACAGTGCTTTTTAATAATTCTGTCTGAACTGTAATGTTTCGGTTTTCTGTAAAAATAAATCTTTGGGAAAGCAATTATCACCATTAAACACTTTCTGCTTTGTTGCAAACTCTTCAAACTTTGCTGATGACTTCAGTAATTGTTCGTCCACTTTTCCTCAGAGGTTTGTAAGAAGCGTATTAAACAGTGATTATGTTCCTTGCATCAATATTAAAATGTCTTTCACAGTAATTCCTTCATAATGACTTTAATTTTCTTATGAAAGACTACAATGGAGGGTGGTGAGGTGATGGAGCAGCTGAGATTACACCCTCATGGGAAATTCTGTTCAAGACCCAACCTTCATTAACAACCTCATCCGTCCTTTCATACATTAGCTTCAGCAGTAATCTAACATTATGAACTAACCTGTTGCCAATCTGACCATCTTCTTAAAGGACCATGTCCATGATTCTGCATTTTAGCTCAATATCTACAAATTGCATATATGATTGAATTACCACCAACAAAACCACGATGCCACAGTGAGGACATTTTCCCTCCAGTTAATAAACTCATATCAAAGGCGGTGCTACTGATTACAGCGGACATTTTACAGGAAAAAAAAAAAGTTCATCGATGACGCTTAACACCTGTGGAATATCTACAGTTGATCTTTAGCGTTGGCTGGTTGTGTGTCTGGCCTCCCTTGTTCAGCGTTCGCTGCGGGGTCGCAGGTTTCCGCCTGGCAACACGTTCTGGCTGTGACCAGATTGTGTTACGTGTTCCGCACAGCTTGTACCAAATGTTTACAGATTGCTTCTTAGTATTATGCAAATTAGATTGTGTTTATTTGTTGAACGAGGGCATTGATACACATAAATTAGTGGGTAAGTATTGTAATCAGTGTATGCCCAAACACTGTGTAATACCAGGAACACTACAGCGACAAGCACGTCAGTCACCTTTAATTTTTGGGTGTAATTACATTCAAGTGAAAACCTGAAAAATGATAATCAACAACCAAAACGATTGCACTGATGAACTGTGTTGTAAGAAACCTGAAAGAAGACAAAAACTGCAGCAGCCATCTCTCAGTTCTCACATCGTGGGTTGTCCTTGCTCTCAACTCCACAGGACAGCAATGTTAAATTCTAAATATGTAAATAACAGTGAAATTGATCTGCGTACCCTTGCAAACCCTGCAAACACATTTAGTGCTTCAGTGTAATAATTTAGGCTTAATGTCTAAAAAGAAAAAAAACATTATTTAAAGGTGGAAGATACGAGATTGGGAGCATTTCGATTTCCTCTCAAAGGCTCTCAACATGGTGAAGGCGAGCCTCCTGCTCACAGCTAACAGTGCTAACAGCACTAACAGTGCAGACAACAACAAATGAGCTGACAGAGCCAGCAGTGTTTAATCTATTATCTTACTGTCTATTTAAATCAAACTAAATCTGCTTCCATTTCAACAAGTGCAAACACAAATACTGAACAAAACGATCCAGCAGTCCCATGGAAAAGAATCTGCAAATTCTAATATTGGCATTTTATCTGAAGCTTAGGCTTTACAGTCGAGGCTCTCTTGTGGTGTCTTTCACCAGATATTAGGGAGCAGCTCGATTATAAAGTCGTGAATGTCCTCCATTATTTCAAATGAAATAAAAAAGCAAACATGTGGGAGTAAAAGCAACACAGGATAACTTCCTGTTTCGTTGTGACTACCATCTCTATGCGCTTTCTGTCCTAATCATCCTGGTGGACTTGTCCTGGTAATAGAGCATCACTCTCAAGCCCCACCGCTGAGGTGAACGGCGTGATGGTTTCCAAGGAGATTTCCGGGTCATCCTCGAGCTGGACGGTGGCGGGAAGCAGCAGCAGTCTGTTGTGGCTCCGGGAACCATTGGAGATGATCGACTCCTCGTCAAACTGTGGGCTCATGTCCTCCAGGTGGTCTGACCCGACGTTAATGTTGCGTGGATGTTGCTGCGGCTGAGTGGGGACCAGCGTCTCCTTGTGGAGCGTCGTGTCGTGGTGGTAAGAAACAAGCTCGTCGCTGAAGTTCACAGCTTCCACCGCGTTGTTGGGGCACATTTGGTTGCAACCCAGAATGGTTGCGAAGGCCCGGCGGAAGTCTGCGTTGAATGCATAAATGACCGGGTTGAGGGAGGAGTTGGCCCAGCCGAACCAGACGAAGACGGTGAAGGTGGTGTCGCTAACGCAGGGCGGATCACAGAACGGCACCGTGCAGTTGAGGACAAAGAACGGCAGCCAGCAGAAGACAAACACCCCCATGATAATGGAGAGTGTCTTCAGGACTTTGGTTTCCTTCTTAAACGACGACTTCAGTGAGGCTTCTTCGTTGGGCCTGTGCTGCTGCTGGTTCCGGTTCACTCCGTAGCCTTGGTTCTGCGCCTGCTCAGCCGCCCTCTCCAAAGACGTGATCCGGCGGATTTGGGTCTGAGCGATCCTGTAGATCCGGGTGTAGGTGGCGATCATGATCACCACTGGGATGTAGAAGCTGATGAGGGAGGAGGAGATGGCGTAGGTTTTGTTCAGGTTGGCGACACAGCTCTTGGCGGGGGTGCTGGCATTGAGGTTGCTGCTGTTTGTGAAATTCCTGCCACTGGCCACCATCATCTCCATCATTTCCTCCATCGCTTCGTCTTCCTCCTCCCCGACCTGATGCCAGTTGAGCTGTACCGGGATGAAGGAGATCAGGATGGACAGCGACCACGCCACCCCAATCATGACAAACGCCACCCGGTGAGTCATCTTCCGCTCATACTTGAACGGGCTGGCGATGGCCCAGTAGCGGTCCACACTGATTATGCACAGGTGCAGGATGGAGGCTGTGGAGCACATGATGTCGAAGGCAATCCAGACCCCGCAGAACCGTCCGAACAGCCACGTGCCGGTCACCTCGGTGATGGCCTCCCAGGGCATCACCAGCACGGCCACGAACAGGTCAGACACGGCCAGCGAGATGACGAAGAAGTTGGTGACCTTGGAGCGCAGGTGGCGGAACCTGACCACGGCGGCGCACACCAGCGTGTTCCCGAGCAGCGTGGACACGATGAGCAGGAAGAGGACGCAGCCGACGAGGACGCGCAGTCCCCCGTTTGCTCCACCGCTCCCGCCGTCCTCCTCCTCGTCGCCCTCCTTCTGTCCCTCGCCGTCCAGCTCCGACAGAACTTGGGTGAAATTACTCCACGTCGTGTAGTTTCCCATTTTCCTCCCCACAGATAGATGGAAAGTGGTAACAGGTGATTAATATCCCCTTCTCTTCTGTCCAGCGTCTCCTGACACACAAACCATCCTCTGATCTCTCAGTGAAAAATAAAAATAGTAAGCGAAAGTGTCTTCAAAAAAAATCCTGCATGCGACTTTTTAAAATCAGATCCTTAGTCCGAAGAAGCGCTCCGCGAGAAATTACCCTCAGAAATTCAAATAATAATAAAGATGTTTTTTTTAACAATGATAATAACTTAATAGCACTGACGCTAATAAATCCTGTCGAAGTTTGATGTCTCCACAGGAGTAAAAAGGTCTGTGTGCCGGTCTCTTGTCCCAGTGTGACTCACAACGGACTCACCTCTGTTAGGTTGAAGCTCAGACTCACAGTCAGGTGGAAGCCTCTGCGGGGATCGTTACCCTCCTCAGCACAGGTTGGTGCCATCCAGTTCAGTGTCGAGCGTTTTAGTTTCAGAGTCCACAAATATGTATATATTTTATAAAAAGTTCATGTTTCATTTATGAGAAAATCATGTTTTTTGTCCAAGGAACTCTGTGTTCGGCACACATTTGTTGTCGTGCGATTCCGTGAGAAATATACAAGATACTTAATTTACAAAAATAAGACAAATATGACAATAAAAGGAATTTTTATTTTATCTAAAATGGTGCGCAGTTATTTACCACGAACAGTGAGGTTTTCGTCAGTATCCAAACAAAACCAAAAAACAATCAGGACTAATTACTATAATGATTACAATAATAATAATAATCTCTCGGAATCTTCAGATAGAAACAGAGTGTCAATTCATTTCATAAGCGGTTAGCTAGAATACAAAGAAATGCACATTTTACTTCTTCCTACATCTTTATTGTGATATGTATAACGCTATCGCTGTGATTTGATCTCATATGAGAGAGACCAGAGAGTTGAATAACAATAAGATGATTAAAGCTGGGCAGACAATGAACAACAAAACAAAACATGCACCAATGGCTGCAACCCTGTCCACACTGTTCATATCGAACGCACACATATACATACAAATAAGCACAGCATAAACACATCAGTGCAATGGGAGGTTCAGTGAAGCACATTCAAGCCTGTTGTTGTTGTGGTAAAGTTACAAAAAAAACTCTTCAACCAACTAAGTCAACATGAAATCATTAGATTGAGGGATTTTAGTGTATTTGACATTACATTATTGTAATAACAGAGAAGTCTCGTTTCCAGTAATGACTAATAGCACATTCTCATTTAAAAAACATAAAACAATAATGAATCAATAAAAAAATATTAGATAGATTACAAAGAATGGTCAGTTCTGCTTGATAGAAAAAAAGATTTAATCACATTTCCAATCAATTAGCATCTTATGAGGTTGTTGTCTGTCCACCACCCCTTTAGTGCATGTGCTGCCTATTCAGTGTTTAACCATTAAGGATGATTAAAAGCCATGTTCTTCTGAACTTCTGATCATTCTGGGTTGTTATGAGGCCCTCTGCTGGTGTCAGCTGAGAGTACACAGAATTGAGGGATGGATCTATTTAAGGGACAGAATAACAGAATATACTTGAACCAAAGGCTTCGCATTTCCGGCTCCATCCAACATTTATTCTCTTTTTTGAAGCCAGCAGTCTCTAAGAAGTCACAACACGTAGTCCCCGCAGATCCAGGAGATTTGGAGAGAAACAAATATGTCAGCAAATCATTCAAATCAGGTTTAGGTGTCAGTTGTGCCGTATAAATGAATGAGGGCTTCTTGTCACTCTAAGATGAGACACAAAAGAGAAAATCCATCGGAGAAGAGAAGAGGATTTTATCGAGCAGCTTTCTGAACTGAGTGCTGATGGAGCTCGAGTCGCTTTGATTAAAAAGGAAGCCAAGGCATTTATTTTCATGCATCAACTTTAAAAAGGCCTTCATTTTTGTGGCAACCTCAAATATGTTTTGCACGTCAACCTGAGCATCATTTCTGCACAAGGTTGCAGCTCAGTAAAGCTTATTTTATGACAACATTGGACACTTTCCTTAGAGGTGACACAGATGTTCTGAATCATCTGATCATCCATCTGATGGCTGCCTGTTCCGCTTTAAGACTGATGGTAGAAAACTCTGAAAACCTTCATTTTCTTCTCCTTTATCAGGTTATCTTCACCTCCTCCTCAGTGATTGAGATTTTATTGAAGGACACCCACTAAGAGCTGATGGATCTCATTTAGAGTCAACGCCGATTATTACTGAGTATTCTAGTGGTGCTAGAGTTTAGTCACGTCAACTGAGAGTCTGGATTCAAGGTGAAGAAATGACCTGAGGTGATGAAGGTGGATTTGGTCATGAGTTATTTAGGCCTTTTCCACAGCAGACACTTTGCAACCACCAGATGGCGCCACCTGTCTAATGTTGTGTCTTGATACTCCAACATATGGAGTAAATGTAGTTATTCAGAGTTACTATACCACATTCATATTTGTCCTTTCATCAAAGATTATCTGTTAAACACCTGTTGTGGAACTCAGCATACTGGAACTACTTATTACTACTACTTTTAGCAGCTGTTCTTGAATGCACCGCAGAGGAGCGATTTCAAAATGGCCTCAGTCACAACGTATAGTGAAGTGAATGTTAGGCAATGCATTGGTCATTGTGAGGGATGACATATCTCAGGTAAGTTTTCATTACCAGTTTTAGTTCACTAGTAAACTGACAGTAATGATTGTCTGTCAGGTACACAATCAATCTCAAGGCTAATAGAATGATTTGGACAACAGTGACCAGCAGTAAATAAATAAATATATAATATGAATATAGAAGTAAATGTGGTTAAAGTTTAAAGCTACATTGATTCATGGCATGTTGAGCTTTTGGTATCACTTTTGTGATTAACACACTGAAGCTCCACAGGGCTTTTTAACCTCTTTTAGATGGTAGTTTTGGTTTTGCAACACATTTACTATCTGGTTCAGGTACACGTCCTGTTCAGCAGCAAACAGCAGACACAGTTGGAGCATGTAGCAGCTAAAGAGACTCCTCAGGAGTTGGTAGAGACCAAACCAAGTCCAAAAGGAGAGTGACTATAGTGGACTCATCAGTTGGTAACAAACACAACTTAAACAGGAGGACATTGATGCTGTTGGCTGTATAAATAAGCAGTTGTTTGGTAACGTGATAGCCAGAACAGCTTTTGAAGTCATATGTCAGGACTGTGTGTCTGTCAGATTTCTGCCAAATCCCCAAAATCAAAGTGTGTGTAGAGAGTGCTGCTTAAGCCTTACTCCTAATACCTCGTCTATTCAGATGGGTGCTGGGAGCCACTGAGGTGCCAACAACAAAAATGGAGGATCAAGGCTCGCATTAGTTATTGATGACCAGACGGAGCCGTCTCATCTCACACACCACTCAGACTGAACGTTAGTGGTGAGTTTTAAGGTGATTACTGTGGTTCTGACTTCTGGGCTTGTTGATAGCTATTGTTTGTAGCTCAGTAGAACACAATTGATTGACAAGTGATTGACTGATGCATACTGAGCAATAGCACTGCATCTCTCCTTACAAAAGGTCTGCAGTCTGATGGAAAGTCTGGTAACATGGAAAAGCTATAATGGGTTAAAACATGCATGCAACTCAAATGTAAGATATTTTGCTTTTCATGTGATTGAAGTTGTCTACGTGATCGCATCTGAGGGGGGAAAAGGAAGCAAGCTTGACTGTTGGCACAGTTTCAGCTACGCTATTCCTCTTGAGGGATCAAAGCATTGATTCCATTGCTGCCCTCAAGCCTTAGAATTAAACTGTCCTAAATCAACTTTCATGAACCCCAGAAGCATGCACAAGTGTTTGTTCTGCATGGAGATTAATGTCAACACCTTACCCTGTTAGTAGGGAGCTGTAAGATCATGAAAAGGTCAGACTCATGACAGACTCATGACAGAGAGAGACTGGTATTAGCCAGGTTTTCATTTACATATATGTGTATTTTAAAGTACTGCATAAGAAGAGCTGTTTGGACCCAATTCAAACAGATTCCTGAATTCTATTGTACAAGCCGACTAGTATTGTTTCCAGTTCGCAACTTCGTCTTCTACTCTGTTCACTGGTTTATAGCGCCAACTTCTGACCAATCTGCGCTGTAGCCGAGTTTATTAGCCCCAAACCAGTTGATAGAAAACGCAACTTATTGACATTTCTTTTTCTTTTGCAACATTTCAAAAGTTTTTCCTTGATAATTGAATGGAAGCCCAGCTTTCATGCCATTGAAATAATTTGAGAGAGAGAGAGAGAGATGCACTGCAACAACAACAACAATAAGAACTATATAATAGAAATATGACTCATCATTTGAATAGAAATAGCGAGCATCAAGCAGAACCACGATAATAAGCGCAGCCACAATCCAAGGACAACCATGATCCATGGCAACATCTGTAATTCTTTGTGGTTGCTATTGTACGCTTTGTTTTTACATGTGCTCTCTTAATGTGGACCTGCACACACGTGTGTGTTTGTGTGTGTGTGTTGCACTTTGCCGCAAGGTGAGGGCAGAGTCATCTCTGACGCAGGAGGGCTGATCGGGCTGCTCCTCATCGCCTGTAGTTACGCCAGGTGGCAGATCTGGCAGAGGCTGATATTTTGACGCCAAGGTGAAGAGTTGAAACTTTAATCACTGTTTTGGTACAAATGGTGAGGGGCGTGGGCGGCTGCTTAGTGTGTGTGTGTGTGTGTGTGTGTGTGTGTGTGTGGGATGTTTGTGCAAGTGTGTGTGTATACACTTTTAGTCTCTGGATGTCTTTGTGTGTGTATGAATGTGCATAACTATGTAAAATAATGTACGAACAAACATTTTAACCGTGTAAAGAAATGTTTCTAGTTGAATCAAAGGCCTGTATGTGTGTGTGTGTGTGGGGGGTGCATGTCAGCGTTGTTGAACTTGCATGAACCAGCCGCGCAGTAAACTCGACGGTGTGGCTTCATCTAAAGGTGAGCGTCTCTGCCTGTC